AAACGGCCTCGCCACAGTGCCCAGTGGCTAGGCAACAGTCAGAGGAGCCTTCAAAGTTCTGCCATCTTCAGACATCTTAGCCGGTTCATCAATGCAGTAACAAGGGTTACTATTTTACAGGTGTTCTGCTTCACCCCACATGTTAGCGTTTGGCCCATCAGATGTCTCAGTTTGTAATTCTTGCATTAATTACATTTTAAGAGATTGAATGTCAAATAGTAGCTAATAATAATAATAATAGCTAACTTTCATCCTATCTTTAACATGCAAAATGACTTGATGATGTTTAAGATCCATTTACAATTAACGTTTATCTCATAGAACACTTTTTTAGTGGGTGTTGAAGTTTCTTTCTCCCTCTAGAATAGTCACCCAGAATTATATAGCTTGTTAAAATGTAGACTGGTAGCCTTGCTTCCTAGAGTTTCTAACTCAATAGATTAGGGATTAGACTCTGCAGGTGCTCTCCAAGCTCTATCATATTGAGTTGAAGCTTTCTCAAAGGCTACAAAGGGTGTTCTGACACTCCTAAAAGGGTTGTAACAGTACATAATTCTGACAACATAGTACAAATGTGTGGGCCTTTTCCCCCCTAAAAACAATTCCACATTTTTTCATTCTATCTTTACAATAGTCCTTTTGCAAAAAGTTGGTAACTAAAGTAGTAATTGCTTATCCCATTTTCCTGAACAAAACCAAAGAAACTTTTCCCTTCTGAGCACACAGAAAGTTGGAAGAGCCAAATCAAGAAAGTGCTCTAACCTTGTAAATAAATACAAGTGAACTCAGCATCACAGGCTATGATTGAAGTCTGCTTCTAGGCTGGTAACATAAACCATGTCCAGGAACAGAGAAGGCAATCCAAGACATGATTCCCTGAAGCAATAATTTCTCAAGGGTTGATTGCCAATAACTGCAGTCTACTGTAGGGACTACTGAAGAGAGTCATTAAGTATAAGAAAAAGACAGTTCTCTGTCTGCTTTACTGTGTATAGACAGGACAGAAACCATACACCAACCAGTGTGTGGCAGAGGTAAATACAGAGTTGTGACTATGTGACTTTACATCTAGACTTGGAGGAGTGGCCAGTCAGTCAAGAATTAGAGGAAAGAAAGAGTACACAATGGAGCCCTCCTGGGGCTCAAGGCACAAAGAGCAGCTTTATCCACACTGGGTGTGTGTTTGCCAAAAATATCAAGGCTGCTGGCACTCCAGAATTTACAAGGGCATACTTTTGTGTAGACGAAGCTACCTTGACTGTGTAAGAGGTCTAGTTTAGGGAGCATAACTTCATGATCCATTTGTAGCCTTAGACAATGTAAGTGGAGGTCATAAATTGTTTCTGATTTTTTAGAAGTATTCTTAATTGTAAGGAAAAAAAGGACCATAAATTTGTGACCCTAATTTTACTACCTGTAAAGCAGCCTTTCGGGAAAAGAGAGAGTACTCTTGTCACTTTAATAAGACTTATGTATGATGCTAGACATTAATTTTAACAGTGACTTTCCCAAGTTTGAACCAATGATAGCTAGGAAGCACAGGGTGAAAACAAACAAAACTACAACTGATCTGAGAAAGGTTACTGCCTGACTTAATGTACCCTGCATGAACATTGTAACTGACTTTGTTTACACAGCCATCTTATAGTCTAGCACAAAACTGTGGAAGTAACAACTCCATTTAGAAACCCATTGAAATAGTCCTCCCATGCACAAGACCAAAAACTACAAATTCAAAAATTCAATTTTACCCTGACCAAATACTAACAATTTAATTGTTTCAAATTTCCAGAAATCTGAAGTTTTCCTAATAAAAGGGAGAAAATTCATATGTGTTTTCATGTGTTATTTCTTTTTATCTTAACCTTTTACAGAACTACCATTATAGAATTAGAAAGTTAAATTGCTTAGAAAATGAATTACTTAACCAATATTCTCATTATGTGTTATAACTAGGTTTGAACCCAGAACTTCCAACTTCGAAGCCACCCATTTGCAAGCACACTACGTTGCCTCTCTGAAACAATCCTAATAACTTGAGGAGTGGGGGAAAGGCAAAGGAAGAACAGTTGGCGGGAAAGGAGGAGGAACAAAGTTTACAATCATAAGGATGATCACATTTTTTTTCATTACTGCAAAATCCCAAATCTTAATCTATGAGGAAGGGTCAGTAAATTAAGATTACTCAAGTGTCTTTACAAATGTACTCTTCTGATGTATGATCTTAGCATCCTCACCAAGTATTTTCAAGATTTTTGCTGTCATTCATTTGTAGAACAGACCTCCATCTTAATAGTGATTGCCAAGGATGTTGGCAATCACTACCTGTAGTGTATTTTTAAATACCTTAACTGAGAGTCTTCATAGTAGCCCAAATGAAATGTTTTTACTTTCCCATCTTTGTAATCACTCCCCATTCATTTTAGAGGCTGAGTATAATCTGAAGTTTCCTTCCCTATTAAGAATATGAATATATACTGACTAGTAACCAAAACATCATAGCTATAAAGAATATTTCTAGCCTCAATACTCTTGAGAGTTACTAATTAAATTGTCAAGACTCTTTGAGACAAATGAACTTCACTTCCACTTTATCACAAGAGAAAAGTAACAATTTGGGAAGAGTGATTTTCCTTAAAATAGCACCATGAATTGTGAAAAGGATTCTCTTGCCAAGGTAACATGCGGAGGCTCATTTAGCCCCAGGGTTGGCCTCCACCACCAGCAAGAATAGATATTTTGTGAGAAAGTCAAGTCACTGTTCTCCAAAGATATCAAATCCTAAGAAAAGAAATGTGCTTCAGACATCAAAACTTCTCCTTTATGAATCTACCTCCAGAATATTCTTATCATCCCACTGACTTATCTACAGTCCAATGACTATTCTGATCTAGTCTTAGAAATTCTCAACTATGTTAACAATAGAACTTAGGAGTCAGAAGGACCCTTGAAAAGCTACATAGTAATTCCTTTACTTAACTAAGGGGACAGGAGCCGAAGAACATTGCCAAGAAAAGTACTTTCTGTGGTTATTTTATGGCAAATCAAGGCCTGAAATAAAGAGATCTTAAACTTGGCCTCCATGTGCCTCTTGCTGTCTAGTGTGTGTGTGTGTGTGTGTGTGTGTGTGTGTGTGTGTGTGTGTGTGTGT